AGATGAAGCAAGTGCCTGACACTCAGGTTAGCAGGGTATGTCTTCCCATCCTCCTTTTGATTTGCTTCTGAACAAGGCAAATGTGAGCTCCCTGTGATGGGGCAGCACCAGATGCTATCAAGCAACCCACATCTTTGACATGCACATGACACAGATACTCACCTCAGTGGACAGTCAGTCTGGAGGTGTTGGAGCTGGCCAACTCTTTCAAATCAGTCATCAAGAACACACCCTCCAAAGCTCTTAAGAGACTGCCCATGCCCAATGAGTTCCATGCCCTGGCACATCTCCATGACTCCCTGATCCAGGAGCTGGCTGCCAACAGGGCAGATTGGGGAGGTGATGATGACAATGCTCTCTACCTCCTGTTCTCCAAGGAGGACAGGAGGAAGGCCAGTGGTACCACAGTCCACCTCAGCTTCAAGCTCTGAGCCTTGACCATGCCCCTGGCCAGCTTCATGTACAGATTTGTGTTTATTTAGAAAAACATTTCCTTTATACTCACATCCCTTCTCTCACTTCTCCTTCAACGTTCTGCACTAGCAGCCCTGTCTTGTACCTGGAGAACCTCACCACATGTCACTTTGGTGATGTTAGTTGGTTTTGCCTCTTTAGGCCAAGTTCACATCACTCTTCCAGGAGTGGCAAGGTGGTGAGCCTTTGTTGGCAACAGCCAACAACCATCCTCTTTTGTTACATGATTCTTCTTGAGTGGCACGGAGGTTGCACAATGGCAGGAGGCCTATCTATTGCTGCCTGAGGGCATGTGCAGTGGCTGGGTTAGCAGTCTCCTCAATTACCTTCTGGACTGACATGTACCCACACTCACAGGCTGAGTCTGGCTGTGGAGCCCTGTGACAAGGGCATCTTCACCATTTCACACAATTGTGATGGCAACATACCACACTGCAAAAACACTAAACATGCCCAGTGCAGCCAAGGGCGCCTAGACATGCAAGTGCAGCCATTGTCCACCTTTCAAGGTGCAACAAGGGCAGCCATGGCACAGCTGGCGCCCAAAGGCGGCAGTTGTGTGGGCACCTTTGCTTGCCTCTTGAGAAGGGACAAGAAAGGCAGACAAGGGTCAGGCCTGGTGGAGCGAGGCATGGCACATCCTGATGATTCTGATTCTGATTGCCTTTAAGGTGAGTTTTGGTGTCTTTGGGTAGCCAGGCAGGACAGGCATGCCTTTGCTGCGTTTGTGGTGCTTCAGGTACCTTTGATGACAATAAAGGCATCATGTTTGTGGAAGATGCCTAAGAGAGTCAAGCAGTTTGAAAGGAGGGTTGTGGAAATACAAAGGTTTATTCACTGGAGGAGTT